CAGCTGAGCTTTAACTGCAGCTGCACTGACTGGAGGGTAGAAATCAAGGCAGAAAGTCTTGATGAGAGACTAACAATCTTCTAGGAAGGAGAGCTGACCTGTTTGATTTGAATCAGTTAACGTTAACAGTCAACTAGCAAATAGTCACAGATGGGAACGTTATCTCATTAGATATCAGTCATTCAAATGGAAGAGGAGGTTTTTTTAAGAGAAGGAATTCAACTGTTTATGGATGAGAGATGCAGCTCCTCTCTCCTTTTCCTTCTCTCTCTCTCTCTCTTATTTCTCTCATGTTTTTCTTCCTCCCTCACTTCTTTTGCCATCCTTCGTCTTCTCCTTTGGTTTTCTGCCAGTTCAGTCCTGCTTCTCAAAGCTTCCTCAGACGTCTTGGTGTCCTTCTCTGCATTGGTGACTAGGTTTTCACAGAAGTCGTGCACTTTTCCAAGCTCAAATTTAAGGTTTTTTTTTTTTTTTTTTGTACACCCAATTTCCATTTTCATGCTTTTCCACCTCATGTCTAGCTGCCTCTGCTTAAACCTATAAAAATAAATCCCTGTGAAAGATGACGGTTTTCCAGTCCGCATAAAGAACAGAGGCCCTGCTGGATAGATATGGTACTGCAACAAAGACTTTTTCAGGTTGGCACGTAAAACAAGACTCTGGGAGGACGTTAATCTTTTATATAGAGTGGCTGGATCTCAGGCAAACGGTGTTGCTTTCATCAGTCAGAACGGCGCGTCTCTGGAGACATGCAGAAACTTTAAATTGGCCCTTACTCAGGATGATGTTCCCCTCTGTCTAAACACCGCCTCCAATTTTGGCTTTTCATTAAAAGGACCACCTTTGTGATGAAAAGGAGTCAGAACGCTCGCTCCCTGTTTGGTTTCTTATTCTTGTTCCAACACTGTTTCTGGTGTTGTTTCTTTGTTTGGTGTTGGTTTAAAGAACAAACTGCTTTGGTGTATTTTGTATTGTGGTTGTAAACTTGTTATCAAGCATTTGGAAAGCCGTCATGACTTAGCTGATCTTTAAAACTTTAATTAGCTTATTCTGCCTTGAAAACATCCAGGTCCAGATTGTGAAATTTGGCACAAACGTCAAGTAGTACTCACCCCATAGTTTGATCCCACCATATGTCTGGACTTGTCTGGAGCTTCTCAGAGAAGAGAGAGTTGCAGTAGATTGAGTAGAGAGACAGTAGAGAAGCTATGTTTAGATGGGAAAGTATTTGTGCAACACGACACAAAATGAGTAGAGTGGCTAGGAAATGGCTAGCTAGCAAATGACCCAAAGTTTGCTAAAGGTTGTCTCTAAGGGTATTAAAGCAGTGTTTTATTATAGTGTGTGTTGGAAACTCCAAAGGAGTACACTAGAGGGCACTTGTGCGCCTGATACGCTGGATTGACATATGTGTTTTTTTCGTCTAAATTATGCATTTTTTGGCTGGTACAGCTTATACCCTGGAGCGACTTATAGTCCAGAAAATATGGTATATATACTACTATATATTAAACTATATCTATATATATCTATATATTTCTTCTTCTACCGTTTTTAATTTTAAACTTCAACAAAGATACATTTCAATAATTGTCTTTTCCAGCAGCGTTCTCTCAATATTTTTGTTTTTTTACGCTGCTTCTATGTTACATTTCAATAATTGTCTTTTCCAGCAGTGTTTTTTGTGCATTTTTATGAGTGACTTTTTTATGCTTTTACGCATTTTTTTTCTTTCTTTAGTCTTCTTAATTCTATTATCCTCAGACGTCCCTTTTTCCAAAGTTCTAATTGAAACCTCCCTTTTTTTTTCATGCCCTTGTTCCATTTTCTTTTTGAATCATTTGTTCTTTTGTCTTTTCAACATTGCAGGTCACTATTCTCCTTGGAAGATCCCTAAGCAGGTAACAACCCTCGGCCTCCGCGGCGTCTGCACTGACCCCAGTGTGACCAATAACATAGATTTAAATAACACAGACAGTTCCTTTAACTCTCACTCAAATCCAGATCTGTCGTTTTTTTAACATCTTTTCCTAAGAATCCGTGCTAACTGAAAGGATTCTTTCTGTTCTGTTTTAAAACACAACAAGACTTTGTCGTACTAACTGTGGTTTAACAACAGCCTGGTCTTCTTCTTTTACTTCCCACCACAGAAACACAACATCTATGAATATCTCTGATACATTTCCATTATCTTCTCATCAACTTTCCTTTTTATTTCTTGACAGCTTTTTACCCTTCACTTGTTCTCTGGTTATGTTGCCCTCATGTCAAGCTTTCCTATAGATGAGGACGTGAGGTCTGTGTGGCAGGAGTTTAGACAGACGTGCATAAAAAAAAGTTTTGTAGTTTTCTGGGTTTTTTTTTTTTTTTTGTTTTGTTTTGTTATGTTTTTTTTTGTGTGTGTGATTTTCTGCTCAAATGATTTATTCAGTCGACTGTGTGGGCTGTAAGGCCTCCAGTGCAGCAGACCTATATCCTTTGAGTTGCATTACTGCCACCTACTGGAGGAACACATTTAAAAATAAAAATAAAACAGTGGTTGGTTAATAGTAAATATTAACCAATGATAGTATGGTCATGATAGACTTCAGTGACCTCAGAATAATTCAAACATATTGTAGTAGCTTGGAATATTAACAGAGGATTGTTAGTAATAATGAGTGAGGGCGCTATGACCTCTGTTTCAGTTTTCATTTGGTTAAAAGTTAATGTAAGAGAAAATAATAGCCATATATATCTGGATATCCTCTCTGCACCGATCAGACCAGCGGACGACCCCAAAGACCAAGCGCCTCCTAAGTAACCTTTGGAAAAAAAACTTTAAAGCTTAAAAAGTCTGTTGCCTTAAATCCTTTTTTTGTTGACTTTCACTTTAATCAGCCTCCTCCATCTACTTCCCCTAAAATCCCTAAATTATTCTTTAAAAAAAAATTTTCCCCTCATTTTGACTCCGAAAAAGTCTCTTTTATTCTTTCCGTCCCAGCGTGTCCCACTCTCCTCTGCCAGAGTTCAGTTTCAGTTTAATTGGACATCATTTCGTTACAGAGAAAAGAAAAAAAAAACACCTCCTC